AAGGTCGACGAGATCGGCCACCTTGCAACCTGCTTACATAAGCGGCGACATGTAACGTAACGATCCGCACGAGGGTAATCGAAAAGAAAGATTCGGCTTTTAATTATCCGTACAGATCGTGCCTGGCCATTACCTGCAGGCGTTTCGAGTCTTAACGAGCCGGCGTCAATTGCTTGGGAAAAGACATACATAGCTGATGCCATACTGTAAAACCAATGAAGTCCCGGATGAAAAACCTGCAACCTTTTTCCCTCCGTAGTAATTAAAGCAAATTAATATGGTAATTGTTTACGACTGATCTTCGTCATTGATCGAATCGCCCTCGATCTATCCGGCATTTAAGGGATTCTAAACGCAGTTGAGTTTCAGTCCTGTTTTATCAAACAAAATGTGAGGGTAGATTTGACTATAAATTTATTATTGGCTATACGGTCTCATATATCTAGGTAAAGAATTATGAATTCTTCAGTTATAGAATCGGAAGCGCTCTAATTTCAGGTAATAAAACCGTATAGCCAATAAATAGATTTATAGTTGAATCTAACCTCACATTTTGTCGATTAAACAGGACTGTGGTTAGGATCCCCTTAAGGGAATGCCGGATGTCTGTTTTATCGATCAGAGATTATAGATTTCTGCACCACCAAAATCTTTTTATTGGTTTAATAAAATAATAAATGCTTTTCCACAATTAAAACACGTACAGAAACAAAGTGGGAACCTACTGATTTTTGTTAAAAAAAACAAAAAAAATTTAAAAACTAAAATTTCTTTATCGACTTCTGTCGTCAGGTCGAAAAAAATAATTGTGTTAATTAAAAGTTCTGCTGTTTGTACGTACAAAATAAGATAGGTTCCGACTAGAAATTGAATGAAGAAGTATTAGTATATTTTTAATATAAGTTTAAAAACCTAATAAATAAGAAAACGGTGCAGAAAATTTTCACGCATATGTATTGTATACGTGCATATGTTTAGACATGTGTGGTGCTAACCTATCGCAGTTCGGCCGTCTCTCCGGCATCCCCTAAATGCCAAACAAAAATGTAATTGACCAACTTATATAAAATTCAATAACCGTTAACGGCCGCATCACGGTCAATTAGCCCGCCATCGCGGTCTGACTGATCGATCGCCATAAGTCACCGTGCATTTTGACGCTTTTCTCATGTGTGAAGCGGAATCGCCCTTCGAATGCCTATCGGGACCAACGCGCCGGATAAGGCCCCCGAGTATAAGGCCTTACTCCGTATTACCGCAGCCCGTGCACTCTTACGGAAGGTTCACGGAGCCCGGTTTTGCCCGCGAGGTGCAAAACAATTCATTACCGCATGACCTCCGACCCCGCAGCGCGAGTCGCTCATTATGGAGCACTTTGATGACCCGTGTGTGCCGGCATCCCTTCTCCCTCTCTTCCTTCATCCTCGCGCGCACCTCCGTCTCGGGGTGGGTCCTGCGGCTCGAAGCCAAAATGAGAGAAGCGTGGGAGGATTGGCGCGAAGAGAGGAGAGGAAAGGGAACCGCGAGAGAGATGATGACGTTGAATCATCGGCGAACGAGGGAAAAATTATCTGCTGCGAGATAAAGATTAAAGATTACGGACGAACGCGCGACAAACCGAGATCGCTTATCAAGATGTTGATCTCTTTTATGATGGACACGCGATAGGCTTACTAGAATAAACTTCAGACATTCGTTAAAATTTGGCTGCATAGAGTTCGAATCGAGTTGGATAAAATGAAAGAGCTAATTTACTTAAATTTATAAAAATATACAAAAATGTTTCTCATAACAAAAATTAATAAAAATTTATTTTAGTTGTGATCAACTCTCTCGTTTCTTCTCTTCCCTCTTTTTAATAATTGTTATTGTATGCACCTCTTTAAATTGTTTTGATAATAATGTTTATTTACTCACAAGAAAATTAATTGATAATGTTTATATTCTTTGTTTATTTACAAATATGAAGCTAAACTGATGACCAATTCCATTTTTTAGAAATTTCTTAATTTTAGTACCAAAACATGTAATTAATGCTCTAAAAAGTTCACATATTGCAGTAAAAAATTGATTAAAAAATTGACCAAAAGTCGCAAAAAGAATAATAATACAATGTTCTTTTTTCTTAATTTTTCATATATGTCATATATGTGTATATATAAACATTATCGTGGTATGTAATTTTTCTTGTGAGATTTAGAATCATAACAATCTGAAGAGATATGTACATCCAATTAAAATGTAAAAGACAAGAAATAAAAATTCTAGTTCTTTTTTAAAGAACCTATCCGTTTCGCACCTTTCATCATAAGTACACGTAACCTTCGTATGATGTATGACAAGTGTTACACTTTGTTATTTGTTTGATGTATAACATATGTCAAGGTCGTAACAAAATTTCCACTACTCTCTTTTCAGACAATTATTGCAGAAATGTCAAAATATTAACATGTGTAATGTGATAAATTTAATAAAATGAAACATTATAATTATAAAAAATATATCGACAATTGAAATATACATATGAAAATATTATTAATTTAATTTATAAAAACATTTTTTAATTTTATTTTACTATTTTACTTTCTTATAAAACTTTTCCATAATCTCTACGAATTTATTCAAATAAATGTCGTGTCATCGAAAACCTTCACCTATCAGAACAAAAATAATTCAATAGCCGAAGTGTTGATAAAATTGATGAAATTCATAAAAAAGGAACGACACGTCATTTATTTTACATCGACGGCCCATTCTGTTGGAGCCTCACAGAATTCTTCTCTCGCCAGCGAGGACCCCCTTCGTGAGGCTTCGCGATAACATCTCGCAGCTCGGGCCCCGAAACGACCGTTAAGGGATCATTAAGGCCGGCGTGAAAAGTGCGATAACGACGATTCTTACGCGCGAGTAAATTCGTACCCCAGTCAATTTAGACACGGGGTACAGGGGAGACCCCTGATTTAGGTCCTCTCCCTCTTCGTAACTTTTTTAACGACTCGCGAAAGTCGTTCCGGACTGGTTGCAATTTTGCGAGAGAATCGCCACCGATCCGAGAGTCCTAGAGGTCCGTAGAACGGCAGGTGAAATCTGCCTGGGCTCGTCCGCGAGCCATATGTTGTATAGACCATCTAAAATAAGGTGCAGGTAACACCTTGCTGCTGCCAACAGTGTAGCGGAGATTGTTTTGTCCGCGGCCTTAAAGGTCCTCCACGGACTAATGAGCCATTCTGCCGGTTATATTGGCCCGATGCCTCGCGCTGCTTTTGATCAGCGCTACTGAAATATAAGACCCATTCGTTATTCGTAAGGTGACTCGGATATTTTAGACAACCTAAGCGGCCCACCGACGTGAGATTTCACACGACGGGCTCCCCGGCTTCCCGACAGGTATTATAAATAGGAAATAAGAAAAAAAATGCATTATATACAATTTATAGATATACTTAAATAATAATCCGACTAAAGATTTATAACATTGTAAAATGAATATTTTATATTATAATAAACAAAATTAGAGTATTAATTGAAAAAATCGATATTCTTAAAATAAAATAATTTAAATATACATATGTATTAGCCTTCATATGCTACGAATATAATCACAAATTCTCAAAGTATCGTTGAACCGCATCGCATTTAGATCAACCGAGATATAAAGTAACGAATAGCTCTTGTATTGAGGTTACTTCGAATACGAGCACACCGGTAAATATAATCGAGTGCTTCTTTCATCTCATTATTTGTCTCTCACGTTTTTCAATCGATCACGTTCTTGAAACGGTTCGTATCGATTACGATCTGAAAAGTTGTCGAGAGGAACGTATTGAATAATAATTGAATGACGCCGATGATTGTACAAAAATCCTTTCCCCCGCTAATATACATTTCAATTTCTCTTGAACTTTGGTCTTTGTCCATTAGCGAGATAATAGCTTAATACAGATTTAAAAAAACATGTGATACATATTAATAACATAATAATTTAGCATAATATCAACACATTAGCTAAATAACGTCGCGTGTGGGAGAAGATGGGAATTAACTGCAAGCTGTACATTATATATCACGATCGTTCAATATTTATCCCGGCGGCGAAGAATTTCATAAGGGCAACGACTACATATAATTTGTGCACGGATCGCCGCATCATCGACGATCATGCTTCTCGAGAAAGAAACGCACGCGAGCACTAACACACCTGGTGTAACCGGCAGCGGCGATCCTGACACAATAGGACACGTACCACCACGGAGTAAAGGGTTGCAAGAAGACGAGAGTCTTCCGGGAAGAGATGAAAGACTCTCGCTCGTTGGTCAGGTGTGCTGAACATTCTGAAGGAACGATTAGTTTTATACGGGGTCAACCTGGCCTCTTCAGCAACCGTGTCAGAGGTCGTGAGACCGTTATTGTTTGAAATCTCATGCAGAAATATCCAGATTACATGCTGCATTGCTTATGAATGATTAAAAATTATTATACATATATAATACATGTAAATTCAAAACAATTGAATTTTCTTTAAGCATGTGTGGAATGTCCCTGAACAACATTACGTCTAAAAACGGGACATAAGATGTCTTAAAGATATTTTATTGACGTCTTAAAGACATATTTTAGTACGATGTCTAAAATACACCTTAATAACTTCTTTACGACGTCTTTTGTCCCGATTTTAGATGTTTTGTTATCTGTGTCTGAAATATTGTCCCGATTTTGTAGACAATAAGGAGCTTTAAGGGGATCCTAAACAATTGACCGAACTCCGACGGATGCTTTGAAAAGTCTTTTGCTTTTTCTTTTTTATCGACAAAATATGAGGTTAGATAAACTAATCTATTCATTGGCTATATGGATTGTTTTTACCTAAAATTAGAATCCCCTTAATGCTATCTAATAAAATTCGATATATCAGTTAGCAATAGATCTTGTCGATACATGTATAATTTCGGTGACCGAAGTCATCAAATCGTTTCACAAGGCAAGGTGGAATTTTTATCGATAACTGTAGGCCTCGACCCCCTTCGTTTTGTCCCCAAAATTCTCTAGTAGCTCTAAGGTCCCATTCTGGGCTCAGGACCCATACAACGTTGCGACCTTTTGTCGCTGCGCAGCCGCTTTTCTCTCGCAAAAGTCTGCGCAGCGCAAAGCCTCGATATGCCATACACAAACGAATAATGGAACCTTTTACCCCGGCGTCTTATATGTGTGTATATGTCTTTCGACGCACCTGTTCGATCGCCATAAAAGCCCAGCGGTCAAGGTAGTGTTTGCTTCCACACTTTCTTGCTTGTGCATGCATTTCTGTGCGAGTGTATGTATGCACATACATACACGTATACAGGGTGTCCGGTAACTAACGGACCAATGATTAAGGGTAGATTCTCTGGCCAATTTGGAGACGATTTTTCCTTAGCAAAAATGTTGAGAAGTCAATAATTTTCGACTTATAAGCGATTGAAAAAAATGGGTTTTTTGAAAACTAAACGTTTTGGAGTTAAAAGTCTAACATAATTACATTCTTCAGTTAATTTCAGGTAGAGTTTACTATAATAAAATTTTAATTTGAGGCTTAGTTATAAAGATACATAATGACAAATATTGGAAAGTTGTAAAAAATGATGACCTTTTTCGACATTTTTGCTGAAGAAAAATTGTTCCCAAATTGACCAGAGAATCCATTTGTGATCGTTGGTCCGTAAGTTACCGGACACCCTGTATACATGCAGCGCAGCCTCTGCGAGGACCGAGGTACTCGAAAATAGCGCGTGCACCTGTCGTGCCGAGCGAAAGGACACCGTTCAATAGGCCGTCATAATTACAATCATAACGACGATTAACTACACAATACTGTAGACCGTAAATGTAAAATCCTCAGATTTAAATATTCATCGAGTCAGTGCCGGTCCTGGGTGCTTGGCCGCCCCTGTGCAGACCCATTTTTCGCCGCCCCTTTATTCCGTAAAAATTTGGGACAATTCAAAAATATTCGTACTATATAGAATAAATGAATAATTTCATTTGTAAAATATGTATTGTGTATTTTATTTTAATTATTATTTATAAAGGAAATGACAAACAAATTGTTAATGATACATATCTTTTAAAACATTCTAAAAGTAAATAACAAAATTACTGTAACGTTTTTAAATTAACTCTTCTGGCTTTTAGAGACGCAAATTCGTCTATTATTTTTGACAAGTCTATACTTTCTGATATTTCATGTTCTATAGAAATAAGTGCAAGACTGCTTAGTTTTTCCTGGGACATCGTAGATCGGAGATAATTTTTAATTATTTTAAGTTTCGAGAAACTTCTTTCGCCAGACGCAACGGAAACTGGCAGTGTTAAAAAAATTCTCAATGCAATAGTAAGATTTGGGAAACAAGATAACAAATCAGCATCTACGATTCTTTGTAAAACTTGAAAGGGATTGTTCGATAACGATGCGTCAGGAAAAATTTCCCGGTACGACATTATTTCATGATATAACTGAATACCATCAAAATCCCTTTTTAACACATTATTTTCATTTGATTGGAATTTTACATCCAAATCCATACATGATTTCATTAAGGCGTCATTATCCATTTTTTTGAAATCATATAAAAAGCTAAACAGAGATTCACATTCATTTATTAATTCAAACCTTTGATCAAGAGAATTGCTTATGTGATCTAAAATGAGAAAATAAAAATGTATTTTAAAGCGTTGTTTAGGATCTACAACCGAATCAGCTTTGCTTTCGTTGAAAAATTGACGTGGCTTTTTTATATGGCGAATTATAGGAAATTCTGGTTGTACGTTAATTTTTTCAGCTTCTGTAACGGCATTACTAATGAACGTATTAAAATATTCATCGTTTCTTTTTTTAATAATGTAATTTTTGAGATTTTGTAAAGCATGAACACATTCGGCTAAGCTTATTTTTGGGTTTTGAAGCATTTTACTAACAATATCTATTTTTGAAAGCAAATCGTGCCAAATAATTATAGAACATATAAATTTGAAAGAAGATATCTTTTGTGCCAATGAATGAGCCATATTTTTTGTTTTTACGTCTCGAGTTGGATCATTCGTTAATTCAGTTAAACTGTCAATGATGTTCTTTAGATTAAGGCGTAATGGTCTTATAGCTTTAATTCTGCTTTCCCATCTTGTCTCACTAAGACTTTTAAGTGTTAAATTTGTAATGTGTTTCTTTAAAAGATCCCATCGATATGTGGAAGCAGAAAAAAAGTTATATACTTCCTGAATAATTTCAAAAAAATCAAATATTACCCCGCTACTATTTGCTGCATCACTTACGACCAAATTCAAAGTATGAGCATTACAAGGAACAAAGAGTGCTCTTGGATTGATGTCTAAGATGCGCTTTTGAAGGCCAATATTTTTACCTCTCATATTGGATCCGTTGTCGTAACCTTGTCCTCTAATATTTTGAACATCTAACTCATAATTTGATAATTTTTCTAATAGGAAGTTATACAATCCTTCACCAGTAGTATCTGTGACAGGATAAAAATCCAAAAAAAACTCGTGTATGTCAACTTCTTTATTTGACATATTTATATTTACACACCTTACAATAAATGTAATTTGTTCGGTATGGCTAACATCTGGTGTACAGTCAAGTATAATAGAAAAATATTTAGAAGATTGCACAATCCGCATTATTTCTTTTTTAATACCTCCAGCTAATAAGTGTATTATTTCGTTTTGGAAATGATTTCCTAAGTAATGTGGCATATGAGTTTTAAGTTCTTTTGACTTTTTAACATTATTTAAGTGATCTAACATAACAGAATCGAATTTAGCAATCATCTCAACAGCCTTTAAAAAATTACCATTATTTCGTTCGTATACTTGCGAATTTGTTCCTCTAAAAGCCAGACATTGACCAGCTAAAAATTGTACAATTGCAATCATTCTTTTAATTATAGCTCTCCAGCGCTCCTTTTCAATGTCAAATAAATTTTTTTCTACCTTGTCAATTGTGCATTTTTTATCTAGTCGTAATTTTAATTCACACCACTTCTTTACACATTGAATATGTTGAATACCAGTTTCATGTTTATTGAAATATTCAGAACAATGCCGCCAATCAGAATATCCATCATTAATTATTTTTATGTTTTCTCTGCTAAATAACTTACAAGGAAAACAGAAAACACGGTTTAATTTTATAGAATAAACAAGCCAATTTCTTTTAACTTTTTCTCCGTTTTCCATAATTTTGTTAAAATATAAAATATTAAACTTTCTACCAGTTTTTTCATCTACAGGAAATTTATAATTATTATCTATATGAACAGGCCCTATTTCTACTAATGTTTCGATACATTTGTTTGGTATGATATTAGGCCAAGTACCTGGGTCATTTAAATCTAACATAGATATGGAATCATCTTCATTTCCAAGAACTTCGTATTTTACTTGATCTTGAATTTCATCCTTTTCTGAAGATGCTTCTACGTCAGTATCCATTTTTCCATCGACATCCGTATCTGGTACTGTGTTTTCAGTTTGAGGAACAGGAAAATCAACATCAGCTGTTATTGGAACATTTTCGGGATTTTCAAATAATAAAACTGATGAAGAATTTTCTTGATCAGATTCAAGAAATTTTTCTAGAGCTCCTTTTAATTGCTGCTGTTCGTTTGCTTTTTTTGCTCGCTTCTTTTTGTAAAACGCTCCAGATTGTCTCTTGGTTTTTCTATCTGCCATTCTAATAATAACAAAATTATAAATATTTATAAAAATTATAAATATTGCGTTGATTTGGAAAACAAAATTTTTAATTTATCATTACTTACTTTTGCTTTATGTTGTATCGATATTCACTATTCACTACTTTTTGCTTCCACTGTATAAATATAATATCTCGCCCGATAGAAATGTCAAATTGCAGACGCAAACAGCAGAAGCTCGCGCTTTTATGTATGTCGTGGAGCAGATTAGCACATACGCCAAGCGTGCTGTTTTGCTGTTTGCTGTTACAATTTGGCATCTCCGCTGTCGGGGAATTCTCGGCATCACTGCATTAAACAAAACATAATCGCTTGCCCAGTAATCAGTAATATAGACTCTGCTGGAGACTTTATATATATTATTGATTAGAGAGAGAGAGAGGCAAATTGATGAGAGAGAATGCTCTTATTATAATTAATGTATATATTTTTATTGGAATTTATACTATATTCTATTGATTATTTTTACACATTATTATTGTTTTATAAATTGTGATTTTGTTTTCAATTTTTGTAAAACATTAAGACTCCGAGGGCGGCCTTTCGGCCGCCCCTCTAAATCGGCCGCCCACGTGCGGGGCACGCGTTTGCCCTCCGCTAGAACCGGCCCTGCATCGAGTGCAACTTGAATTCGATATCATTCGTAATTGTCTATGCAGATTACCTTAAGAAGGACAATGATGTAGCATATATAACTGGTCAACACTGATTTTATTACCAATTATATTAGATCGATTTTAAATAATGGGTAGATACTGATCGCAGACAAAAAAAACTTTTGTTTAGTTGCCAAGGATGTTTGAACGAATTTAGGGTATTTTGGGGATGCTAAATCAAAAAATGATGGCAGTTTTGCCGAATTGGCTCTAATTTTTGAGATAATGGATACTCAAATTATGATGTAAAATTCTTAGATTTATGTAAATATTCATCGAGTGCAACTTGAATTCGATATCATTCGTAATTGTCTATGCAGATTATTACCTTAAAAAGGATATGATGATATAGCATCTATAACACTGGTCAACACTGATTTTATTACAATTATATTAAATCGATTTTAGATAATGGTTAGATACTGATCACAGACAAAAAGCTTTTGTTTAGTTGCCAAGGATGTTTGAACGAATTTAGGGTATTTTGGAGATGCTAAATCCAAAAATGATGGCAGTTTTGCCGAATTGGCTCTAATTTTTGAAATAATGGATACTCAAATTATGATGTAAAATTCTCAAATTTAAATATTCATCGAGTGCAACTAGAATTTAATTATCTGAAGACATCTTAAAGACGTTTTAAAAATATCCCAATTTTGGACACGTTTCTATTTTGATACCGTCTGGGCTATCTTTTTAGTCTTTAACATGATTTTTACCCTTAACGTGATTATCCTGATGACTTACATAAAAGAAAAGTGTACATTGTTTTTTCTATACATTCAAAACGCCATATATTTCATATATATACTTTTGTATAATTTGAAACATTTCTCATTCTTCGGGAATAATCTACGCTTGATTATTACATTTCTCGCATTTTTTATATTTTTATAGGGACATTCATTATAGTATTATCTTCGATATTACGTTAAACTGATAGTTAGATAACTAAATGAAACACATGTTGCTCGCATGTATCGATCACCCTGCAACGTCGATTAAACGCGTGTTTAACTCGCGCACCGACCCATATATTACATACCGACACATACCGATGCGACAATGTCGAAAGGGCGAGCGAGATCGTGGCACGCATCCATATGGACGAGTCGGCCAGACAAAAAGTTCGATTGGGAGCTATACACGAGTCCGATTGAATCGGCGATGCGTGCTAGAGGCGCGCGTGGGATTTAATACGCGTTGCAGGTAGCCCGTTTTGACCGGAGGAAATGAATTGAACGCATTTCCAGTACTCGCCATATGTTGTTTGTTCCGCTAAAAGAGCTTTGTGTCGGCGCGAACACGCTCGAACGTATGAATGAACACGCGACGGGAGAAGTGAGAACGAGAGAAAGAGAGAGAGATGTATTCTCTCGGGTGTGCGAACGGTCTCTCGATTCTTCATTGTGCGAAGAAATTGGATAACCTGCCGGATAATCCGCGCGCATTCACGCCAACGCACGCGAGCACACGTAGGTATATCGATTAACTCTCGTATGATGAGATGTATTGGCGAGAGCCGAGATATAACTGTCACAACCGGAAGACGCACGGTTAACACACACGTTGCACAAGTGACACATACGGACTTGTAATTAACTTCGCAGAAGCTTAGCTAGAAATATATGGTAAGTATATTCACTGCTGAAGAAAGATACGTAGCTATTGTACAAATATATGCAAACATAAAACACGTAATTAAAAGGATTGACAGACCATTTAGTTAGACGAACATTGATGTCTTGGATACGGAACCAATTCTAGAAAAAAGACTAGCCTCTAAAATAATATAGATAAAATGTCAAGAAACAATTTAAATTTACAAAGTGACAATTCTATTAGTACATATTTACCAATAAATTGAATGATGATGAAAACTTGAAAAATTTTTAATGTCACCATTTTGTCCCTTTGTTGTTTTTTTATGTTTATAATCTAAAAGATTTATTTTTATTATTCGACTCTTGTTCATTTTAATCGTAATCGTTTGACAAGTGTTGGTATTCTCGAGACTATACAAAATTTTTACCTTATGTCTGTATCATTTATTTGTATAAGTACCCACTTCATTTATATAAATTATGTTAGTTAGTTTCTTTATTTTATGTTTTTTTTTATAAATCAATAGATACTGAAGATGACCCAATACCATGGTCAAAAAATCTATTTTGAATAAAAATTTTTCATCCGCAAGAATATATTTAATTTGGCGCCTCCCGGTTTATATTATTTAGCTTTCTATATTTATTTCTCTGATTATTTTTAGTTTTAAATAAATGATATAATTTATATTAAAAAATAATAAATAAAATTTGCTATAATTATAATTGCATATTTATTTCTCTGTTTATTTATTTTTAGTTTAGTTTTAAATTAATGATATTGTTTATATTAAAAAATAATAAATAAAATTTAATCGAGACACGACAGGACGAGTGGAAGCGTTATTAACGAACAGTATTCTAAATAATATATATGTCAATATACTATGGACGCAATGTAAATTTCCGAGACATTAAATTATGTAATGAATTATACACGTTATTAATGAGTAAGCTTAATAATTTAATTTAATATGTGTAACTGAAGAGGATCCAGTCGGGTTTGAAACGTTTTACCATTTTTATTGAGTAAACTTCAATTTTACATAACGCTCTAACAACAGCGCTTGACTCAATAGCTCATTTATTTTTTCTAATTGTGTTTATATTCGGGAGTCTTATAATTTTAATTTAGTAAATAAAATTATCTATTATAATTGCATTATATATTGAATTAAAAATTAAAATTGTACCAATAAAAGTCTCGATATTTTTATCATGTTCCGATTTTTTAAAACTGATATGAAATTGGTTGATCAAGAATTGTTTACTCTAGATAGAATGTACCGCCGTAGCATCCTGGTTTAAAAAGCATTTCTTCATACAAATGTCCATGGCAGTCTGAAAGATTGATAAGTCCTGCGTCAATAAAAGGATCTGGAATTCCTTCTATTCGCGTCGCGTGATCGATTCGGACCGCCCAAGTAGAATCGTAGCGATGAATGAATGGCAACACTCATTGTCAGAAGAGCGCATGAAAAAATTTCTTTTACAATTGTAAACATTGTTCTTCTACCTCTTTTCTCTAGGCGGTACAAATTGCGCAAGAACGACAACGAGCGTAAATTGCGGCCGCGTGTCAATGGAAACGATATAAATATCATTTGCTTATCGAAATACCGTCGATGGATTTATTCGCCGCAGCCTCATAAATTATCTGCTATATTTTCGTGGTGTATATATATATTATTACATCGACACGTATACACATATGCGCGACGAAATATGAACTTGGGCTGTACGTCGAATCTCGAGTCGGATTCAATCGATTCGTTTCGATCCGAGCACGAGCACCGACAATTACTTTTATCGACGAAGACCCCCGAGGCCTATGACGATGAGCGACCGATCATTCGCTCCGAGAGATGGAAGATTTCTTCTTTTTTCTTTTTTAGCGATCTCCGTCCTCTTCATATAGAACGCAGTATTGTTTTCTTGTTGAAAGACAAAGCGCGTGATTATACACGAATCTCGAAAATATATCGATATATTGTAGTAAACTTTTGATGTACGACAGATTTAAAGATAATATTTATAGATAAGATCTATGTGATAATTAAAATTCGACAAGATTATGCAACACACTTCATTTAATATCTCGCGAATGATTAAAAAATTAAAAAAGAAGTAAAATGTTTATGTTCGTAAAAATGAAAAAAAGTATTATAGATATTATATACGATATTTTTATACCATAAATAATAGAGTTTATTAAATCTACATTTATCTTATAAATATATAAATATATGTATATACTAAAGAAGGCACATGTGGGAAATGGAAAAGACAGGGGTGTATATACGTAATAACACATAAGACTTTAAAATTTAAAATCCACATAATTCATTTTGTATAAAATATCTCTCTCTATATATAATATGCAATATCTCTATTTTTTCTTCTGTAGTAGTAGTTTACTTTCTTTACAAAACTAGGAATAGTGGTATTCACCTGAGCCGCGCTGTTAATTACACGCACGATAAAAAAGTAAAAATACACAACAACGGCTCGCTTATGAAAAATCTCTACATATCTTTTTTTCTCAATAATCATAGCGAGTCTTTTGCTTCTCTGCGTATAATACAATGACTAGTTTGTTCGAGAAACTTACATAGTGGATTTGCAAAACGCAAAGAGTACGGAAAACGATAATGCAACATACAGAGCCGAGATCTTCTTTTTTTTTCTTCTCGTTCCACGCGTCAAACACTTTTCTTTCCTCTTGCGGAAACACAGCTCCGTGCCCAACGCAGGTAAATTATAATATTTGTATTTGTTTTACTCGCTAATCATTAAGTGCTAAAACTGTACAATCCGCATTTGATCGCGTGCGAGCGTGTGCATATATATGATTTGACAAATCATCTCCCCATGTGACACTTTCGCGAATAAAAAATATTTAGTGCATCGCAATACGTCAATTTTTCCCAAACTATTTTTTATCAGATTTAGACACGTAAATAATATTTAAAATACATTCTCCGTACTTTCGAAACATTT